CTGCCCCTACTTCCCCGGGGGGTGGGGTACACGGAGGGACTCACATCAAAGAGCTGACAGTGATTGGCAGCTGACAGCCCCTGTCCCCACAGCTGCCCCCCACTCTTGCAGCTGCTGTTGCTTTTTATGAAAAAACGATGGCCCTGTGACGTCATCTGACCTGGAGGCCACACTGCGCATTCCAGCTCTGCTAGCCGTGCACACGGATGAGTTTCCTAACTTCTCAGGGTCTCCTCGGTCTCTCCGTCTGTGAATGAGGTTAGCAAGAGTCCCAGATCCTGTGAGCACTAAGGGAGACAGATGGTGAATAACAAGCCCTCAGCGGAGGCCCAGGTCTTGCTGAAGCGGCCACTGCTCTTCGGATGCCCCACGTGCCAGGGGCTGTATGACTATTCCAAGGTGCACCCTTCAGTTGGTGCCAGAGCTTGGGTCTTTTGCTCCTCCACTCTGTATCCTGGGAACACATAGGTCCCTAATTCTGAAATGTGAGCATGCTCCTGACCCACAGGTGGAAGACTAAGGTGCAGCCAGCTAGCAGGATGCTCTCTCCCTCTGATGGGGCTCTGCTCCCGGGCCCCACACTGTCCTAGGAAGGAGCCCTTCCGGACCCCTCCCCTAAGTCCTCAGAGGGCACCGCCCAACCCAGGTGCTTCCCACCAGTGGCAGGACCATCACTATGTAAATGTTTGTGCAAATGCCCTGGTATCCAGTCACCACCTCTCCGGTGAGGCAGGCCACCCCCCTGACACTGTCACTTTGCAGCCATGGGGCTCCGGACAAGGACACTCTGGGCCCTGCTCGCCCTGCTCTTCCTGCTGCAGGTCGTGGCTGAACCTGAGCTGGCTGAGAACTCGGACTTCTTTCTGCCCGGAGACTACCTCCTGGGTGGCCTCTTTACCCTCCATGCCAACGTGAAGGGCACTCCCCACCTCACCGTCCTGCAGGTGCCCAACTGCGAGGAGTGAGTCTCACATGAGCCTGGCCGTGGCTGTGGGGGTGGCATGGGGTCTGGTCCTGTGGTCCTCAGGGCCCAGACCAGGCCTGAGGGCTCAGAGCACTCTATCCGTTGCCGCCCATCTCCCGGTCCTCAGGGAGGCCCCATGCCATCCGTGGCATGGCAGTCTTTGGGCTTGTGTCCTGTGTCAGTGTGGGAACTGGGCTTTCCTGATGCTGTGTCTCCCTGCAGAGTTCTAGGATGTCTGGGCTCAGAGGGTCTGAGAGACCACCAGAGCCCCCCACCCACATTAGCAACAGATGGCTCCCAATCACTGTGCCTTTGGGAGTTGGGGTGCGGTTTTTCTGCAGCAGGTTCTCAGGTGGAGGGGGAGCGCTGCATTTTCCAAGGGCTATAATTGGGTAGGCGGGTGGGTGGGTGGTGCTTCCAGGTCTGCAGATGACCCTGTCCCTCTAAGTCCCTCCGGAAGGCAGCACCATAAAGAGATTGGGTGGACAATCTTCCCACAAGCAATGGGACACAACAGCCAGCCGGGGGTGGTGAACGGCGACCTCACTCAGAGAAGGTGGGGCATTCTAGAGCCACGAGAGAAGGGGAGAGCAAACGATGACCAAGGGCTGAGTACAGGAATATGACATTTCCATGTTGGGAGACAGCATGGCTGGATGGTGGAGAGGGCAGAGGTGTCAGTGGTGGCCCCAAGCATGCTGCTGGATTTCCTCATGCTTTGGAAAATGACGGCCAATCTAGCAATGGCAATGGGGGTAGTGCCAGTGCCACTAATAATGTTGATGGGAGAAACATAGGTGATAATAAAATCAAAGCATATAGCGATGGTGTAGGCGGTGACGGTGGTGATGATTCTGGTGGCAGTGATTCTGGTGATGGTGGTGGTAGTGATTGTGGTGACGGTAGTTGTGTCGTGATGGTGGTGGTGGTGGTGATGGTAGCGATGACGGTGGTGACAACAGTGGTGACGGTGCAGGTGGCAGCGGTGGTGGTGAAGGTGGTGGTGGCGAGGGCGGTCGTGGTGGTGGTAGTGATATAACATTATAACGGTGGTGACAGCAGTGGTCACAAAGATGTGGTGACAGTCACAGCAGTGGTAGCGATACTGGTGACAGGTAGAACAGGTGACGATGGTGGCAGTGGGAATGGGGGCCACAGTGGACATCGGTAGAGTGGGGATGGGGCTCATAGAGAAGGCAGCAATGGTGGCCACAGCTGTGATCTAAGAGACGTGCTATAGTGACAAAGATGTGATGAAAATGCCAGGCTCTTCTGGGGCGGCTCCTCAGTCAGTGCCTTGCCCCACCCCATGGCCTCCCCTCCCCCTCCCCCTCCCCC